AGAGCAGGGCAGGGAAGGTGGGTGAATGGATCTCAGAGAAAACAGGCCGGTATTACATACCCACATTGGAAATGGAGTGACACCTGCCCTTCCCCAGTGACCCATTATCTGCCCCTGTCACTCTTGTCCCAATAATTACTTTGTCGTAAGTAGAGGATGGAGTGGAAACCACAGGGTGTGGTGGGCGAGGGTTAGAGAAGAAAGTGGGCGCGTCCAGCGTAGCACTTTCTTCGTTCTGGTCTGGAATCATTTGTCCAGGCAGAGCAGTATTCTCCGCTCCAGTTGGAGGATTTAAGCTCGCAGGAGAAGGTCTGTCCCCAGAAGAAAGAGGCCTGTACTTGTGTGTATGGGTGTGTCTGGTGCTGGTGGTGGACAGTAATTTAATTCAGAGGGAGTATTTAGAAGTCCACTTTGGCTGAATAGCTCAGCTATATTCTCAAATCTGTTTATTTTTCCACTCAAAGGACTGACTTTCAAATCTTGACTCATGTCAAACTTGGGAAGGGAAGAGAGTTTTGGGGGGAGCACTTTAATGTCATTTACTGAGCATCAACTATGCACTAGGTCCAGTATCCATATTATCTTCTTTAACCCCAGGTAAATGCAGTTATACCCACGGGACTGGAAGCTTCATGGAAATAAGGCCTGCTCTACTCTCAGTACCAGAATGCTGTCCAGTATATACTAGTTAGCTGGACATCTGTGGAGCAGACTTGTTAAATGAATGCCTACTTTACAAATGTGGAGACTAAGGCTCGAAAAGTTATGTGACCTGCCCAAGGTTACTCGGCTAGTAAAGGGAGGAGTAAGGATTCAAACCCAGGCCAGCCTGGGCCAAAGTTTATGCTGCCGCCCTTCCCTTCTCCAGGTGCCCTCCTCTCCTCTCCTCCCCACAGCAGTCCTAGGCACCCCTCCAGACACCACCTCTTCTGGGCTTGCCAGGTCCCCAGTTCACAGACAGTGACTCAGGCGCCTAGAAGGCAGGGAGGGGGCGATACTCCCTTTGACACTACCCTGCCCAGGCGCTGTGGCGGAGGGCATGTGTTTCAGGGTGTAGGGACCCAGTTTCTGGGCTGAACACGGGCAGAGGCAGAGGCGCCTTTGGGGCCATCAGTGCCCTCTGAAAAGCCATCTTCCTAACCCCCAACATCTCACAAGAGGTGAGGTGAGAGCTTGGGAGAGGCCAGCAGGGAGGGCCAAGGTGGGAGGTGAGTCTTCACCTGCTGGGATGACCGGGCGTCCAGAGACGTGGTCAGGCTCCCCCCCTGTCGGCTGTCCTGGCCAGCCCACCTGGGCAGCTGTAAGGCCATCTCCTCTCAGACCCCGGAAGGCCTCTCAGCTAGAAACTCTGCTGGCAGGCGCTGGCAGGCCTAGGCAGGACTGGGTGTGGGGCGGTGGCAACTCTGGCCTCTGCGGGGCAGTGGGGGATGCCACCCAGCCTGGCTCCTGGGGACTCCCCCTGTGCAGAAGGATGATTTCATCCCTGATGCTTCCAAAGCCAGGCTACAATTATCTCCTGCAGGCAGACACAAGAGACAGATTCCCAGCCTTGGATCCCACCAAGCACCTTTATTCCCAGGCCTCCGATGTGTCAGGAACAGGCCTGCCTCCAAAGCTGCATTCTCACCATTCCCCCTTCTGCAGTGCCACCTCCCCCTGCTAAACTCAGTGCTGCTATTCCTTCCAGCTTAGGTCATGGTCACCCAGAACCCATCTAACTCCGGGGAGCTCTGCCTCCTCTAGATTCTCTTGGCCCCTACTGTGTCTCTGTCATTCATTGGGTACTTGGCATGGACTGCCTTGAATGGTAGCACTTGGCTTCTTGTCAGTACCCTTTTTTCCCAACGAGATTTTTAAAAAATTCTGTATGTATTTGTACAGTTCTTGGTACGGGCGTCAGAATTCAAAAAGTACCAAATATATCTACAAACAGCAAAAACAAGTTTATACAGTGAAAACGGTTCCTGTATTGGCTCTCCTCTTGGCAGCCATCACTGTGCACTTTTTTGTCAGTGTTTCCTTCCAGAGGCATCTATATACATACTAATGTGTGTATACACATCTAGGAACATTTCATTCTCTACCTGGTTTTTCCCCTTAACAATAAATCTGGGAGATAGTCTACATCAGAACATATAAATACACTTCATTCTTTCTGGTGGCAATATATTATTCCATTGTATTCACTCCATTACTTGTTTAATCATTGTGTTATTGATGGGTATTTAAGTTGTTTCCAACTTTTTGCTTTTGAAAAGAGTGCTGTACCTCTTGTACATACTTCTTTGCACACAGGTACAACCATAAATTATTAAAATTGCAATTGCTGATCAAAGGATATGCACCTTTAATTTTGGTATACCTCATATTGCTCCCTTCAGACACTCAATTACACTCCCCCACCAGTGTGTGAGAATGCCCATGCCCACGGCCTTGCCTCAATGCTGTATTAAACTTTGTGATCTTCATCAGTCATGTGACATGGCTTTCTTGTATAATTCTCTTGTTATGAGAGATTGAGCATCTTTTCAATGGTTTCAAAGTCAGTGCCTTCTCTTCTGTGAACTGTCTTGTCTGCACCCTTTTGCCTTTTAAAGAATGGCATTTGTCTTTCCCACTAATTTGTTGGAATTCTTTGTGAACAAAGGAAATTGACCCTGTTTGCCTGATGTGTTTTATTTAATTTCCCTCAACTGTCATTTGTCTATGGCCCAACTAGATTTTCATCTTCTAGAGTACAGGGACTGCAACTTAAACCTCTTCATATTCCTGTTCTTAATATAATATCGCATATATGGTAGGTGCTAGACATGTCTAGCTACAATGTCTGTGGAGATAAGAGAAGTAAGAAGAAACAGATTTGGAAGATTTTGGAGTAATATAACCTTAACCATTCCTCCCTCTCATACCAAGATCAGTAGGACTCTTATTGTAAACAGCAGAAACTAACTCTGGCAAATTGAAACAAGAAGCCATGCCCCTGGCCTGGTGGCTCAGATGGTTGCAGCATCACCCAGAACACTAAAAGGTTGCAGGTTCAGTCCGCTTGGGGGCTCAGTCACACTTGGGGTGTGTACAGGAGGCAACCGATCAATGTTTCTCTCTCTCTCTCTAAAAATTAATAAACATATTCTTCGGTGTGGCTTAAAAAATACAACTATTTTTAAGTATATTTTTACTGATTTTGCTATTACAGTTGTCCAATTTTTTCTCCCTTTTCTCCCCCTTTTCCCTGCAACCCCCCAAAATACAACTCTTTAAAAAAAAGAAAGAAAACACCAAGAGACTTGGAGAGATACTGGGTAGCACATGGAATCGGTACGAGGGCGGTCCCCAATAGGCCTCTGCAAACAGGTAGGCACCGAGGAAACCTAGGCAGTTAGCACATAGTCAAGGTCGGGGCACAAGACTGCCTGCCTGAAAGACCCCTGTCTCCTCTACCCCTTGCAGTGAGGCCCCTCCCAACCAGGCAATGAGGCTGACATTTTTCCTCCAGACACTAGAGGCCGCTGCTGGCTCTGCTGCCACCAGAGAGCAGAAAGGAATTCTCAACTGCCCCAGCTTCTCCGTGACTTGATCCAGATTCAAACTCCCAGTGGGGCTTCTGACTAGCAGAGCTTATGTCTTCCTGCACCCTTGGAGCCGAGAAGTCTAGGAGAGCAAGTGTCCGGGCTTTGAGGCAGGTCGTGGTGGGCATGTCTGCCACCAAGACCTAAGCAATGGGAATTCCCCAGATGTGGGCAGGAGGCCCAGACTGTGGGCAGGCGGGACAAGTGGACAAACACACACCGCTCTTCTTTTCTCATATCTGGCTCAAGCTCTTCTCTTCGGTGAAGATTTTCTGGGTCACTAGCCTAAAACACTCTTCTGGACTCATATAACCATTGCAGCTTGGGCCAATAATGATGCCAGGGAAGACTGTGCTAAAACCTGCTACTCTATACCCCACCTCATCTGACTTAACCAGCCCTAGACGTTACCTGTATTTAGGGAGGAAAAACAGTTCTCAGATCTTCCCAAATCACAGAGTAGTGCCAGGTTGCAAACCCAGGTCTGTGTATTTCCAAAGCCTTGGGGTTTCCCAGTGGGCTGTTATTAGTGGGCTGGTATTTCACCAAGTTAGAGCTCTGGGAAGGCAGGGGTTGTGTCACATTCTTCTTTTTATATCCTGGCAACATCTACTATGTAGAAGATGCTCAATTAATGCTTGGTGGGTTGGCTTGAATGAGATCAAGCAGTAGTCAATTCTGGAAGGTTATTTACATATCCCATGAAGCCTGAACTCAGGAATCACTTTCAGGTAGAAATCTACTCAGGATCACTTTGGCAAGAAAAACCTTGAAACCAGGAATTCTCTCTGTCTCTCTCGCTCTCTCCCTCCCTCCTTCCCTTCCACTTGGTTTCCTTTCACCCTTTAACCCCACTTCCCCAAATGTGTCAAAACTGCCAATAAGAGGATCACATCTGCCCATTATTTAATCATCCAATGGTTAGTTTTGAACCCCATCACTGCCCTAATAGCCTAGTAGAAAAAGACACAAACTCTGCCCTGTGGAATTTACAATTTAGTAAGGGAGGTGAATGTCCATCAAATACACACATGCTATTTGTAACTGACAGAAATGGTGAGGGACGCCACAAGGTGCGATGAGAGGCAGGTCTGACCTCCTCAGGTAAGTCAGGGCAGCCTCTTTTGAAAACCTGGGCTGAGAGCTGGAATTCGAAGGAGGATTTAGCCCAAAGGGAAGTCTGTGAGTCCTTGAGGTGCCGATTTCCTGCGGGGTGAGTAACCATGGATCATCGAGCCTGTTTCTAGAAAAGCAACAGGGACCAAAAACTAGGTGGTGTGCTGGTTGGCAAGTGCGTCATGCCCAGATGGAGCCGGCCGGCATCTCCCGGTCTCAGCTGGGGATGACGTAGTCCTGGTGCAAGCCCAAAATAGCTGGCTCCGCCCCTATCTCCCGGCAACCCCTGCAGCAGCACCCCCCCTCCCCCTCCCCCCTCCACGCCACCGTCCCCCGGGTGACAGGCCAAGCCGGCCTCCTCCGAGTCTCTAGTAGTTTCGGTGCAGCTGACGCAGGCCCGCGCGCACAGCTGGGCCGGAGCGTCCTACGCAGCAGCCGCGAGCCCGGCAGCGGGTGCCAGACGGTTCCCGGCGGGTTGCAGGGGCGGGGCAACGCAGGAGCCCGAGGACTCTGGGAGGAGGAGGTGCGGGCAGGGTGCCCCGTCAGGCTGGGGGCCCTGGGCCTGCCTGCGGAGTTAGGAGACTGCGGTAGGGCTCCCCGGGCCTAGGCACCGAGATAGCCAGTGGCACCAGCCTGCGGGGGCCGATAAGGCTGCCCGACTGAGCCCAGTCACCCACAGCAAAAAGAGCCGAGTTGGGCTCCGCGTCCCACTTGGGAGCGCCTCCCGCCACCCTGGGGGGCTTCAGCCCCAGGGAGCCGCCCTTGGGTCTTTCTGTCTGACTTGTCCTTCTCTCCTACAGCTCCTCGGAAGCCAGCCTGACTGCAGAGGAGTTGCCATGGCATCCTACTACGAGATCCTAGACGTGCCGCGAAGTGCGTCTGCTGATGACATAAAGAAGGCGTAAGTGCCTCCGCTGGGCACCACAAAGCCTCTCAAACCCCGGTCCCCACCACCAGCACCAGGGGGCCCTTCAGAGGCAGTGCCCAAGGAACCAGGTCCTTGACATATGTAGGGAGGAAGGGGACCCCTGGATGGGTAGGAGAAAAGTCTATAGCTGTGAAGTTCTGCTGGGAGCTGCTCTGTGGCTCCTTCTCTAGTGAACCCTCCCTTCCACTCCTCTCCCCACCCCTAGATGTGGGCTTTCGTAGAATGCAGTGCAAAGATGCCCAGGCAGTGTGACCTGGAGGGACCACTGGCCCTCTCCATGGAACCCCACCTGTGCAACCCCAGCCCCAGAGAGCCCCAGGGAGGGTTTAGGGCTGGGACCGTCTCACCCTCATATTATCATCTGTTAATACAAGCAGTCCTAGCACTGGCTGCAAGAAGGGAGATAGGGAACCCCCATTAAAATACCACGGCAGAGGCAGCCCCAGCAGCTGGGGTGAAAGGACATTGGTTGGCTAATGGGAAAATGGGTCATTCTGTTCTCTGGTGGCAAGTGGCTACATTTGTCCCTTTCCCTTCCCCTCTGAACCCACTTCCTTCAGGTATCGGCGGAAGGCTCTACAGTGGCACCCAGACAAGAATCCAGATAATAAAGAATTTGCTGAGAGGAAGTTCAAGGAGGTGGCTGAGGCATACGAAGTGCTGTCAGACAGTAAGGCCAGGGTCCTGGCGAGCGGCACCCATCACCCCCACCCACTTCACACCCCGTTGCACTCCTTCCCAAAGCCGTGCCTTTTCCAAGATGGCATTTAAGTGCCCCCCTCCCACAGGGACTCGGGCTTTTTCCCCTTTAAATGGGCATCTATACTGTGTGCAAAGCATTTTTTATTCTTCCCCTAATTGCCTGTGCTCAGTGCTTGCTCCCTAGTGTCTGCTGGTTGCAGCATGCGCCCTGACAAAGGAAAGGCTGCAGGGCAGGCAACCAATGTGTCCTGAGCCTCCCCTGTGCCAGGCATTGGTGGGTGTCACCTCTGTGAGTCCTCACAGCTGTCCCGCCAGGCAGGATTTATCAGCCCCATTTTACTGGCAAGGAAACTGAGGCTGGGAGAGGCAAGGTAACCTACTCAAGGTCACACAGCTGGAGTATGAATCCAGGTGTTTTTTTCATTCATTCAAAAAATATTCAGTCGGATGCTTATGGTGCTGGGCCCTTGCTGGGTATGGGGGAACAATGGAGGACAAGCAGTCACTGTCTTCATCCTGATGGGCTTATCACATTTCGCTCAGGGAAGGCTGTCATTAACCAGATAAATAAATAGAGGAGAGCATTCCAAAGGAAAGTAGCAGCGGGATGTGACAGGGAATAACAGGCAGCGATTTTTGTGGCGATGGTCCCAGAAGTCCCCTCTGAGAAAGTGACATTTAGGACCAAGCCCTGATCAATAATGCCATCATAATAACCTAACATTTATGGAACACTTACTGCATAGCAGGCACTGTGTCAAGCCATGTACATGAATTATCTCATTTCATCCTCAACAATCCTAGGAGGTAGGCATTGTCATCATGTCCATTTTACAGATGAGAAGGAGTCAGTGTGTGAAGGGCTGAGCTGCTGCTAAAACCTGCAGCCCCTGTCCCCTGCGCACCCTGCTGCCCCCAAGTGTCAGCCTCCGGGCAGTCCTCTGAGGGTCTTAGCCCAGCAGGGAGGCCAGCATCCCAGAGGGAGGGAGAAATGATCTGGTCTCTCCTTCCAGAGCATAAGCGAGAGATCTATGACCGCTATGGCCGGGAAGGGCTGACCGGAGCAGGTAGGTGGGACAGTGGGGCCCAGGGACAGAAGTGGGTCAGGGAAGTGAGGGGGAGGGCAGATTCTTGCAGTGGATGTTTTCTCAGGGCTCCTGGCTGTGCCTTAGGTGGGGTCCCCCCGCCCAGGTGAGTATACTCCCTAAGCCCCCTTCTCGTCCTGCCTCTCCTTCAGGAAGTGGCCCATCTCGGGCAGAAGCTGGCAGTGGTGGGCCTGGCTTCACCTTCACCTTCCGTAGCCCTGAGGAGGTCTTCCGGGAGTTCTTTGGGAGCGCAGACCCTTTTGCAGAGCTCTTTGGTGAGTGGACTCTGGGGGCCTCGGACTAGCTCAGCTTCCCCTCCAGACCTGCCCTCCATCCTCTGGGACGTCCTCGAGGGGAGGCGGAGAGGGAGGCAGAATCCCACAGACTGAAGATTCTGTGGGGGGTGGAACCAGTGAGAGTGAGGACAGAACCTCACACAGGCCTGAACTCACATGACCCTGCAGTGACACTTCAGAGACTTGTTTTATTAAACGACGACAATAATACACTGTTAGTCCTCCACAATGATAGCCAGGAAAGCAAGCCTCAAAGCCTCACGTGACAATAACAATGCCATTACAAACAACAGCAGACACCATTTTTTGGAATGATTAACATGAACCCTGTGAAGCAGATAATTTTATCCCCATTTGCAGACCACTGAGGCACATTCAAGTAACTTGCTTACAGATGCACGGCACACAGGAGCGCGGGTCTCACAGCCGTGTCGCCCTACACTGGGCCATGCTGGTCCGTCGAAGGAGCCATCTGTCCTCCCTCCCCCTTTCCCTCCCCCCTCCCTTCCTTTATTCTCCGTTGTGGACAGAACTCACCAGGGAACTGTTTCATGTGTAATATTGAAAAGGAATATAATTTGTAAGTCAATCCAAGCAGAAAAGAAAAAGCAATCAGAAGCGTACCCAGTTGCGTAGCAGCTTATGTTTCTTATAAACAGGATTTACACATCACATTTTTTGGGGGAAGTGTCTTCACAAGATGATTGCTAATCCGCTTGCTTGTTGCAGATGACCTGGGCCCCTTCTCAGAGCTTCAGAATCGGGGTTCACGACATTCAGGCCCCTTCTTCACCTTCTCTTCTTCCTTCCCTGGGCACTCTGGTAAGTGCTGTCCCTTCCCATTGTCACAAGCTCTGAGTCCTGGGACACCTCAGCTCAGCTCGTGGCTCTCCCAAGCCTCCCCTCTGGTGCACCCGGAGCCCTGCCTGCGGGGAGAGCCTGCAGGGGCTCCCGGACCCTCGTCACTGCAGCCTGCTGCAGACAGCCCTCTTCTAACCAGCTCTCCTCCTCTGTCCCAATGCCAGAGTTCTCCTCCTCATCTTTCTCCTTCAGTCCTGGAGCTGGTGCTTTTCGCTCTGTTTCTACATCCACCACCTTCGTCCAGGGACACCGCATCACCACGCGAAGGTGAGGGCTCCTCCTGGGACCCTGCCGGGTGGAGGAGGAGCTGCGACCACAGGAAAGTCAGCCCCTCGGAGGCAGAGCCCTGTTGGTCCTGGTCACCGCAGCATCCCAGTACACGCACCCACAGCGCTCAGGCGTGCCCGCTGAGTGACCTGTGCTGCCTCCCGCAGGATCATGGAGAACGGGCAGGAGCGGGTGGAAGTGGAGGAGGATGGGCAGCTGAAGTCGATCACAATCAATGGTGAGGAGTGGCTCTGCCACTCAGTCCCTGGCAGGAAGCCCCAGCCCCAGGCCCCAGAGCTCCCTCCCCAAGCTCTGCGCCAGTTGGAACTCCCCTGGGGCATGGCGGGAATGGCCACCCCAGGCCAGACTGGCAGGCTCTCAGGATGGTCATCACGTGGAAGGGGGCCAGGACAGCGGATTGAGGAGCCTCAGAGGGCCAGCCAGTCACTGTCGTCATTATCAGGGTGTGCATCTGCAGAACTCTACTGTTTTCAAAGTGCTCGCACACATTCCGTGTCCCCATATTCCTCACACAGCCAGGGGAAAGCAGGGCAGTTGGTGTTTGCCCTAGTTTTCATCTGAGGAGGCTGAGGCACAGTCAAGTGGCCTCGATCCCAAGAACCCCCAGGCCCGAGGCTCTGTCCTACTTAGCGAGGGGGAAATCCAGGAATGAAACTCAGGATTCCTGGAGCTGAACTCTTGCCCCAACACCCGGCTGTCCAGGGTGTTCGCCAAGGCTGCCCTTTCATGCCACTCACCCTCGGAACACTATGCTCTCTTAGTTAACCAGTGGGACATTTTGACAAGGTAGACATTCTCATCATTCCCGTTTCACCGATGAGGAAAGGGCAGCTCAGGAAGTTGAGTAACTTGCCCGAGAAGATAGCTTATACCTATGGCAGCTGAACACCTGTGCATGTTTGTAATCACTGTGCTAGGTATTAAAACATATGCACGGCAGATCCAAAAGGGACTGGAAGTGGTCAGAGTCGTTGCTGCACGTGGCAGCCTGGCAGGACCCCCCCTGGCCTGGGCCAGAAGGCCTCACGGCGGCCATGACTCCTACAGGTGTTCCAGACGACCTGGCACTGGGCTTGGAGCTGAGCCGTCGAGAGCAGCAACAGTCTGTCGCCTCCAGACCTGGAGGCACTCAGGTGCAGCAGACCCCTGCCTCCCACCCTGACAATGACCTCTCCGAGGATGACGAGGACCTGCAGCTCGCCATGGCCTACAGCCTGTCCGAGATGGAGGCAGCTGGGAAGAAACCGGCAGGTGGGCGGGAGGCACAGCGAAGACGGCATGGGCATCCCAAGGCTCAGTACCAGGATCGGGGCGTGGGGGGGACTCATGAGAGTGCAAGGGGTAATGCAGCTAAACCTGGCACACCCCCGGAGGAGAAGGCCTCTCGGTGCCTCATCCTCTGATCACCAGGCTCAGCCTGCCCCGATTCCACATGGCCCGGGGTCCCGCTCACTGTTAGAACAGAGAGGGGCGTGGCCCTTCCAACTCCATGCTCCCTCTGTAGGTCCCCCCACTCCAGGCTCCAGTGTGGACTTGGGCTTTGCCCTGCTGAGCTGACAGGTCCCTGGTGAAGCTCAGAGTGTGGGCCTCAGGGCTGTGGGAGGGCCTGAGGAGCCAGGATGCACTTCTTATTTGATGGGGGGCATCTAAGGGGCATTAGTGGTTTGGGGCAGGCCTTTTGTGCCCGGGTCTTCTGCCACCTGTGTTGCTGATGATGTCAAGGAAGGAGGACTTGGCCTGGGGCTCTCTGAGCGTACGCCAGCAGCTACGCCGGGGAGTCTGCGGCTCTCCTTGTTCAGCTGCGGACACCCCACCCCGGTTTCTGTGCAGCGTTGAGCTCTGACTGTTTCTGTTGCTTCCCTTCTGGTGCTGCTTCTTCTTCCTCACACTCTCCTCTCCGCAATTCCCCGTGGGCCGCGTCGCTTGCTTTCACTGCCGTCTGGCTAGGACTCCCTTCTTCCTTCCCCAAGGAGGCCTCAGTGTGACGAGGAAGATGCTGTGGCCCGTAGGGCCATAAGGTCTTCCAGGGAGGCTAGCTGGGTGGGGCGGGAGCCTCTCGGCCATCCAGATTCGGAACCGGAGCCCACTCCTCCTCCCTTCCTCTCGCTGCCTCAGCCTGCCCCAGGCCTCGGGACTAGGCAGAGGTGAGGCCGGCTAACCCTGGAGAAGTGGGATAGGGCCAGGGTGCCCCAGGAGGGAGGCCTAGGAGGGGACTGTGCCCTGTCCTACTTCACCATGCATCAGGGCTCAGGGAGAGGCCACAGGGCTAGCCCAGGTCTGCATGCTTAGCGGCGCCATCCTCCACGGCTTGCTGCTGACCCTCTCTCCTATCACCCACCCCCGCTCTCTCCCCAGATGTGTTCTGAGCTGGATGTCCAGGATCCAGAGTCGATGCACAGTTCCAACAGGACAGCGCCCTTCCCTGTGCACTGGGAGGGGACCCTCCATTCCTCTCCCTCACCTGTGCTAAGCATAGAGCTGGGCCTGGGCCTGGATGGTGGGTGGGAGTCGGCAGTAGTCTTAGCCTATAAACTCTTCACAGGGTGTTTGGTGCTGTCTCTTGGGGACTACTAGTCCCAGAATGCAACACACCTTGACTCATTTCTAATAGCTGGAGCTTGTGGGAAGCAAGTGTGGTTATGGAGCTGTGCATCTTGGGACATGTAGTTCCAGCCCAGGTTGGCCTGTCACTCACTGTGAGATGGGGAGATCTTATCCTTTGAGTCGTCCCTGGCAGGGGTGATGAGAATGTGGATGAAGGGGTAATGGTCCGAGCTTCCATTTCCCTGACACCTGTTGCTAACACCGATGGTAGAGATTGAGTATACAGTTGAAGGCCCCGTGGCATCTGGGAGCAGCTCTTTTCCTGTGGGCAGTGCTGGGCTCTGAGGAACAAGCTGGAATGGGATCACCAAAAAGCCGATGGGTGTGGACCGGTGGAGAGCTTGCAGGGAATGGCCCTCTGGGGCGTGTGTGTCTGTGTCCGGGACTGGCATGCAGTGGGCACTCCAGGCATGTTGCTGCTTGTGTGGCTTCTCTGGCCTTTGCCCCTGCTGCCCATTCTCTCTCCAACACCACAGCCGAGCCGCCTCTCCTCCTCCCTGCTGGGGGAGCCCAGTGGCTGGGGAGGGGAGGGCAGCGCCAGGGCATTGCCAGTTCCTGTGCCACTGCGTCTGGGAGCCCCATCGAAGCCAGCTGGGCTGAGCTCGCACCAGAGGGAAACACTGGAAGCCAATAAAGCTGGGTTTGGAGAGCTTGGCAGTGGTACGCTCTGTCCTGTGTTCTTCCTTCTCGAGTGGCCCAGGGACCTACAGGACCGGTGCTTACGTACCGCCCTTTATTGTCCAAACATCTAGAGATTGTGAGCCTTCCTCGCTGACAGCAGATGTCCCCTCTCTGGCCGGGCTGCCCCCACCCCCGAGTATGTTGTGGAGTCCTAAGAAATGCTCAGGTTCTTCTGCCCTCACCCCCTGGGGCCGCACAGATGGCTTTCCCCAGACACCTATGGTGCCCTCACGTGGGGACCCACCACCCAGTACTCAGCAGCGGTAAGGACTTGACTACGGTGTGACGTGACTGAAAGCACCAGGACAACCAAAAGCAGGGAACTGCAGGAAAATGCACGTAGACTCACCTCTTCCTGGGTCTCCTCAGCCCGGAGCCAGCGGCGGGTCTCAGAGGCCCGCCTCCCCCACGTGGAGCAGCACGAGTCCGTGCCACTCAGGTTCCAGGCCCCCAGCTCATCAGGACCCAGGGAGGGGAAAGCCAGGTACCGCTCCTGTTCTCCAGATCCCTGTAGAGACGCCCCTGCGGCCACGGGACGAGCACCTTTCCACTGCCTGCCAGGCAGTGCAGCCCCCCGCCGCCTCCCTGGCCCCTCCAGGACAAAGGCTCGCCTTCATCTTCAACAGCCCAAGGGCCTACAGTGTATTTTTCTCAAAGGAAGCAGCCTGCCCTGAAAGAATTTCAAGCCTCTGTCTTAGAGAGAGGGAATTTGCTGAAGTTTGTGCAGTGGCTGTTTTGACAAACTTCTAGCCTTTGAGAGGTCAAACATGCTGGAAGTGGACGCACCTGAACCGAGCCCGGGGGGAGGGGTAGAGGACCGCAGCTACTCGCTGGCGCCTTTGCTCCCTGCGCGGGCAGGTGTTACCTGCCCCATTTTCCACGTGAGAGGGCTGAACCTTGGCAAGGTTAAGGGGCCCTCAGTCCCAAGTAGCTCCAGGCCCAAGGCTCATTCTGTCTCAGTCTTTGTCCGTCACCTTTATCCAAGGGTGACACACAGGCGAAGGCTCCTCTGGGACCATAGCGGATGGTCAGTCCTGGGAGCCAGTGGACAGGGAAGAAGGGGCCCCTTGCCACCTGGTGAACGTCCGCTGTGAAGTGTCACTGGCTTGGTCTATCCGAGTTAAGCTAATTTTTGCTTAAGGTGTGGAAGGCAGTTTGTTTTACTTTATCCTCCTGCACGATGTACATTATTCCTGAGGCCCAAGGGCACGAAGCAGCTGCCCGAGAACTGAAAGGCAGTAAGGAGGTTCAGTGTGCCCGGGTTCGAATCCTAACTCCCCCTCTTACAAGTTGTGTTACGTCAGGCAGGTTCCGTGCCACAGTCCCTTCATATGTAAGATTCAACATGAAGGGTAAACAAATGAATGTGGCACCTGGGAGGCTGCCCGACAGACACTCAGGAAGCACAGAAGAGCGAAGGCCTGGTCGCCAGCTCCCACCCAGACCCCGGGGAGCCTGCGCGCCACCCCCCAACGAGAACATAGCAGCCTGGCTCCGGACTGAGGCTGGGCTGCCGTCTGGAGGCAGAGCAGACAGAAGTGCGTAGGAGTCGAGGTTGCAGCTGCACACACGACACACTAACTTTATTCACACTGATACAAAAGTAGAGTTTTCTAGAAATGATCTCCTGTGCCGGGGGAGAGCTGAGTGGCACGTGGCGGGAGGGGAGGGGGCTGGGGAGAGGAGCAGAGGGACAAGGCAGGGGGCCGAGTGTGGGGCAGCGGACAGCGGGCAGCGGGCAGCGGGGGCTGGGAGAGCAGCAGGAGCTGTGTGGGGTGGCCCCTCCACCCTGTTCTGTCTGCACTGGGGCAGGCCAGGGGTGTCCCCACAAACATGTCAGGAGCATCCAGGATGGTGAAAGATGGGGCCAGGAGGTCAAGCAGGAGAAGGCTGTGAGGACAGTGGCCGCCCACAACTTTCCTCCTCCTGGCTGGCTGCCAGCTCCCCCCTGGGACACCTGTGGCTCCAGCATGTGGGAGGCTGGGCGGGCCTGCCCCTTCCCACTTCCCTTGCCTTCCTTACACACTCCTCTGGGAAGGGGTGTGCCCTGGAGGGGCCAAGGTGCGGGTGGCGGGGTGAAGCGTGGGTGCACAGAGAGATGCTCACACAGGCAAAGGGACGAGCCTGGCCGTCCGCTGGGCATCCTGGGGCTCACTGGGGCAGGGCCTTGAGGATGGCGTTCACCTCTTCCGCCACAGCCGTCAGGGCAAATTCAAACTGGTCCTGGGGGGGCAGTGGGAGGAGGGTCGGGGGAGGCCTGGTTTCTGCTCCAGCCCCACAGGGGCCTTTAGGAAGGGGAGCTGGGAGTCCTCTGAGGAGGTAACAGAGGCAGGGGGAGGGCAGGGGAGGGCAGGCGGGAAAGGCAGGCTGCGGCTGGTTTGCCTGGGGAAGGGTGGCGGTGAGTGACTGAGGTTTGGGGTGGGAGGAAGTCACCTTGGAGCGGACGAGGCCAGGCCGCTGGTCACGGACATGCTCCAGCGTGGCAGCGATGTCGATCTCCTTCACTCCTGAGTGTGGGGGGCATGGGGCTGCTCAGGGGGTGTCCGGAGAAGGACAGGACCCAGAGAGCCGGGCCATCCTGGGGCGGGAGGCTAGGAGGACTGGGCGAAGAAGCCTGGACCAGGGCTGCAGGCACCACGGGGACGGCCTCACCTTTCGCCATGCGGTTCAGAACCATGTCGACAAGGATGTAGGTGCCGGTCCGCCCTGCGCCGTCACTGAAACAGCAGATGGTGACGCTTAGCTCAGCAGCCAGAGGGAATGGGGGAGGGGTGCAGGAGCCATGAAGGTTGGGGCGGAGGGGACACTGGTGGAGACACTAGGGCTGGCTCGGGGAAGGTGTCAGTCAGCTGAGGATAAGGGGCTGGTCACAGCCCCTGGGCCCCGGAATGGGCCTTGAGTTGGGAGCCTGGGACCCATGGGTGTCACTCGGACCGTGGACCAATGAGAAAGGAGGGCCCTGGCTCAGCTCCGGGTGCAGGCGGCAAGAGGAAATGGGAATAGGTTTCCAGCCTTGGCCGGGCTTTTGTTCAACAGTTCTTTGTGTGAATGACCAGGTGGTAAACATTCCCAACCTCGTGGGCCATGTACAGCCTCTGCGGCGTATTTTCTTGTCTTCCTTTGACCCTTAAAATCGTGTGAACACCATTCTTAGCTCATGGGCCATTAACAAAAAACGAGACCTGCTGACTTTGGCCTTGGGCTATTGACTGTCTCCAGGCATCAAAGGGACAGGCGGGCAGTGTGCACCAGGGTGTAGGACCAGAGGGACAAATCTGAGGAAGGCCCCACCTCAGGGCCCTCTGGTTGGGCCCTCCCACCGCATCCCACAGCCCCCCCCACACACCTGCAGTGCACTATGATGGGGCAGGAGCGTCCCCGGTAGCACTTGTTCACCTTTCTGCAACAAGAAATGGGTGTGAGCGTCAGGGGCACCAGCAGAGGGAAAGGAGAGCCAAAATGCACACCTGTGGGCCTCGCTTTCTTCCTCCTCTGCCCGGGACAGAGAAGGAAGAGGGCTGAGAGAGGGGTCGGTGGAAGGCAAAGGGCCGGAAGTGGCACGAGTAGCTCTGGGCTTTCCTTGTCACTTGCAAGGTCTGTGCCCAAACTATGCCCTGAACCACCGATTTGGCCTCTTTGAGCCTCGGTTTTCTGCCCTGTAGAGTAAGGATGATAGTAACCTTCTCCTTAGGGTTCTCACCATGATTACATGAGGTAACCCATGTAAAGAACTCAGTGCAAGGTCCAGCACACAGTAGGTACTTAGTAAATGGTAGCTACTACTAATGACAATACAGGACAATATGAATAGCCACTTCTGCCAGAAGTACAGGGAAGACGGGCTTTCTGCTGAGTTCAAGGGTGTTAGTCTTTCCACATCACTGCTCTGCCCCTCTGCCCTCCTCTACCACTGCCCAGGCCGACCCCTCCCTACTCGGGCTCCCTTTGGTTTGGCCAGCGGAGGACAGTCGCTCAGCTTGGAACACTGTGCCGCTGCCTGTCCCCCGGATCAACCTCGCCTCAGTGCAGGGGCTCTGTGCTTGGGTCATATGCGGACTTGGGGTCCGCTTGGATCTCAGACTCTTCTCTACTGCCCTGACCACAGCTTACCAAGGACCAGAGGATTTCTCCCTCCCTTGGTGGCCCTGTCTGACCTGCCCTTGCCCCTTATAACCTTCTTGCTTCGAGAGTAACCTGCGGGGTCCTGATACCCACAATGGGCCAGGACTAGGGAGGACCTTCTTAGGGGGTAATGGATTGTTTTAGTGCAAGTGTGGGACTTAGTGGTCCCCCACTCTGATTCCTCCAGACTTGCAGGGGGCAGGTACTTGGGATGGTTTAATAGGAATCCACACAGTTTTCTAGCACATTGGCGTGTACGTCAGAGGGCTGGAGTTGAACAGAAGTCTCAGTAGTGGTTCCCGGTTGTTTAATAATAATGATAATAAATGGTATCTAGAATTAATCGAGCCTTGCTATGTGCCAGACACTTAAACAGGATTTCACAGACTTTATCCTATTGATTCTTGCCACAGCCACTAGGACGAGTCATCACCCTCATTTCACAGGTAAGGAAACAGAGGGAGGTCAAGACTTGCTTGGGGTCACTTTCTGAGACATTAAAAAATCATTTTGCCTTCCCTCTGACTGACCTTCAATAAATACTATGCTTATTAAATAGCAATTCATTTATTCTGGGTGTCTAGTGCCTAAAGCAAAGGAACAGAACCTTCTAGCGTACCTGTGTGCTCTTAAAATGGGTCTGTGTTCTCTAAGGACTTAAAATATGGGGGACAGGAAAGAGCTCTGATGCCCCTGGCATGACTCGGAGAAGCCTGTGCCCCAGGCCCTGTGGGCCTCGGTGAGAAACCATTGTCCCGAGGCTCGGAAACTACCTCCAGCATCCCCCCCCCTGCCCCCGCTCCTCTGCTCTCTGCCCAGCCCCTAGAGACCGCAGGCCAGCCTGGC